TGAAAAGCTGGACATGAGCCGGCAATGTGCGCTGGCAGCCCAGAAGGCCAACCGTACTCTGGGCTGCATCAGGAGAAGCGTGGCCAGCAGGTCGAGGGAGGTGATTCTGCCCCTCTGCTCCGCTCTGGTGAGACCTCACCTGGAGTACTGCGTCCAGCTCTGGAGCCCTCAGCACAAGAAGGACATGGAAGTGTTGGAACGGGTCCAGAGGAGGGCTACAAAAATGATCCGAGGGCTGGAGCACCTCTCCTATGAGGACAGGCTGAGAGAGTTGGGCTTGTTCAGCCTGGAGAAGAGAAGGCTGCGGGGAGACCTGATTGCGGCCTTTCAGTACCTGAAGGGGGCCTATAGGAAAGATGGGGAAAATCTTTTTAGTAGGGCCAGCAGTGACAGGACAAGGGGTAATGGTTTTAAACTAAACCAGGGTAGGTTTAGACTGGATATAAGGAAGAAATTCTTTACAATGAGGGTGGTGAAACACTGGAACAGGTTGCCCAGAGAGGTAGTGGAGGCCCCATCCCTGGAAACATTCAAGGCCAGGTTGGACGGGGCTCTGAGCAACCTGATCTAGTTAGCAGTGTCCCTGCTCACTGCAGGGGGGTTGGACTAGATGACCTCTAGGGGTCCCTTCCAACCCAAAACATTCTATGATTCTATGATGAGAAAGCTGCATTATGACAAAACAGATCCTCTAAGGTGGTGGGGTTTTTTTGGGAGGTCAGGAAATGCTTATGTTCTCACTCATAAGAACAGCCTTGGATTGTCCCTGAAACTTAAAAGATTAAGCAAGTATTACTGATTGTTCAGAGTTCAGGATGTACTCTCTTACCCTAAGAGCGAATTGTATATGATGCCGTGTTTACAGAATTCTAGGTACTGTTGGGTCCTTTCCAGTATCTCAGTATATTCTGTGAAGTGACATACTCCCTAAAGTGAAATATTGGTAGCCTTCCTTTTTTTTAAAGCCAGTCTCAATGTTAAACACATTTTCTGTAAAGTAGCAGTGATTACTGTAGCAACTCAATTCCTGTGGTTCTTCAACTCAGGAGCTGTGGCTAGCACGTACACAGCTCACTTGGCAGCATTTCTTGCGACTTCAGGCAAAGCATCATATAGGAGAACGGAGGATTTTAATGCAAGAACGTGATGGTGTATCTGCCTGCCTGTGTAGAAACAACTGATAAAATGTTTCTGCAATACGCTTCCTCCTTAGTCTGTATTCCCTGTTTTCAAAGTGCTGTCCTCTAAGTTTGTTGTAGCTAAGGAACCTGAAGAAGTGGCACAGCTGGATGTTAAAATCTCTTTATTTTTTTATTTTATTTTATTTTTTCTTTACCTGACTTTTATGCCAGGAAAGATGAGTTGATCTCCCATCCTTTGATGTACATCATGATATCCCTCTTTAGGATGTGTGCCGTAGCGGTAGATGTATAATTTACATGATGCCCTATTAATAAGTTCCATATCATCTCATACTTTATATTATGTTGTCCAAAAAGGCAGCTAGTCTTCAGTTCTGTAGGGAATTTGGTAAAGAACCTAGGTTTGCGATTCAATAAGAAATGCAAACCTCAATTTCTTCTTTAAAGATTATTTCAGTTTAAAGATCCCTTAAGAGACAAGATTGGTCAACATCTACTAGTATGTCACCAAGCTTTGCTCTGTCCTGATGGTTATGGATCTGTGGTCTTGTCCTACTCTGCCATGCCATACATGTTTTTGCACAAGATCACAGCCGCAGTAGAAGAATGACTGCCGTACCTTACATGTGAACAGCCCAGCCAGAAGTCATCTGCCAGCTGTCCTGAAAGAAAGCCAGGAGTAGAGGAGGCACTTTGAAATGTTACTCTTCCTGTTCTCCAGACTATGAGCACAGGTAGCATCTCCTTCCTGGGCTGGCAACTGTGTTTCTAGAAACTTGCAATGTAAAGAATCAGAGCCACACAAAAAGTATTGAAAGTTCCAGAACCTTTTATCAAGCCTTCAGTGTAAATATTGTGAGTTTCAGGGCAGTAGTATCTAATAACCAGCTTATAACTGACAAGTGAGTGGTAGAGTTCATTCTTCAGTTCCTCTTTTGGGTGGTAGAAATAGTGGTAAATAAGTCTCCTCCTTTGAGACTGTATGAAATGCTAAAGCAGAGGTAGCAAAGACACTGCTGTTAAAACTGTTACAGCTCTTCCAGGAGCCTTCCAGATTGCTACATTGCTCTCTACATTGACACTTTGGGTATTTTACTAGTGCATGCTTATGTACTTGGAACAAATCACACGTTGTTTTGTTGCAGTGTGGAACACAACATAAACATGTTCCTTGAAAGTAGATTATATTTTCTACCAGGATAAGGAGAAATGCCCTAGAACTGCACGTGAAACTGTTCCTGAGTCTTTAACCACATGAATCTGAATTCCCCAGGATTTATCTGACATGTTCAGGTCTTCCGAACTTTCACCATAGCTCTTCATTGACAAACTGGTATTTTTTTCATGTTACGCAGTTGCTGGTTGTCTTCTCAGGACTGTTACTATCTTCTCTTATTCCTCTATGATTTCTGGCACTTAGCCTACAAATCATTATTTTTATAGCTACTATTTGCAGAGTCACTGGATATTAAATTTTCTGACTCCACTTTGTCATTAAAACATTGATCCTTCTAGATCTTCTAACCAATAACAGTCTGTGCTGTTTTGGTGGGGGATTTTTGGTGGGGTTTTTGTGGTGTGTTTTTGTTGTTGTTTGGGGTTGGTTTGTTTTAGGGAAGAATAGACTTATCTATGATACTTATATTTTGTAATATTAAATGTATAAATCCTCTCAGAAAGAACAAACTTAGAAAGCTTGAGAAGTGACAGATTCTTATTTCTACTCGGATTCTATTTATTGCATATCTATATTTTATTAAAGTTTAGCTATAAAGTTAATACTTGGGCTAAAAGCTATTCCAGTAGGACTCCTGCAACTTCAGCTGTATGTCTTAGATAGGTGCACATACCTGTTTCTTACGTAGCAGCCACTTTAAGTTCAACATACATTCTATATTTTCATTGACCTAATGTTGCCTGGTGATAAACAGTTCTGGAAAATTATGCTAAATCCTTCTTCTAATAAGAATTTTTGGTCTGCTGTCCACATGGATGAGGTAACATAGAGGATATTGGAAAAATAGTGATTCAAGAGATTGTTCTTCGGGCTTTTTCAGTCATGTTGTTTTCTGCTTTAGCGTTCTGTCTAGACGAGCACTGTGGCTTTTGAGAAATTGGAAGCGGCTGCCAGTGTACACTCCTTTAAGTGGTTCTGATCTGCTTAATGTTCAGCCCCATGAAGGTGCTCGCAGTTGTACCTACACACATTTCTTTGTAAAACTGATCACTAGGGAATGCCATGTTGGGAGACTGTACTTTACGGGCTCTTCAGAACAATTTATTCCTTTAAAATAAAGCATCAGCCCTTATTTACATTTTTAATCTTGCATTTCAGGTATTTCTGGTATACTTGGTTCTATAACATTCAGCACCGTTAGGACTAGTAATGGAATCTTTGTAAATGTCCTAGAATTACTTGCAGTCAAATTAAAAAAAAAAAAAGTGCGGTAAAGAAAGCAGAACATCTTTGAGAATATGTTTATTTCCTATTAATTCAGACAACTGCAGCAAGCAGTTGGGCAGAGTGTGGATGTATTGAAACAGAACAAACATTGCAGCAGTTGAGAAAGTGTGTGTATATTAAAATACCATGAAAACAAAAATATGCGGTTCTTAGAATCTCAGATGTAAATTACATTTGTTCTTGTATCGAGAAAACTGAATACTTCACTAAAAATTGTTTCTAAATTCTGTGGCATGTGTTACAGAAAATGTTAGGATTTATGATGGCTTGTAATGCACGTATTTTCACATGTAATTTTTTTTTTAATACTGCTCCTGACCTTCTTTCTTAGCTAGGTGAATGCTTTGCAATAGTGAAACTGTTTCAGGTCATAGTAAATTCCTTTGCTAACCTTTGAAGAAGCTTTAATAAATGTTACTCTTTTATCGGTCAGATTGCCTGCATAGTAAAGGGAATGAATGTCTTGAGTTACGTTTGGGTAGCTGAAGAAGCACTTCAGAAACTAAGGAGGAGGAGCTCAGCAGCATGTAAAATATTCCCCGTACAAAAGTGTGCCCGTGCTCAGTTATTTTAAAATGGCATATAGTGTTTAATGCAAGTAAATTTGAGTCTTAGAAGTTACAGCATTGAAATGTCTGCCTTTTATATGAAATTAAGAAATAAATTCATATATAAGGAATACGTACATAGATTGGCAAATCATTGGGTTTTTTAATGCCATATTAGGTTTCATTTTTGTTTAAAAGCAGCCTTCAGAAAGAATTCGATAATTGTTTTTAAACTGAGTATGACTCATGTTTGCCTGTTGATGCTACAAGTGTTCAGAAGGATTTCTGTATTCAGGATCAAGCTAAAGGCATATAAAAATGGCTGCCCTTGGAAGGAGTAAGGTACCTTGTACTGATGAAATTATTTTGTGTTCTTACCTAGGTGATCGTTTCAGGTCAGTGATAGATGATGCTTGGTGGTTTGGAACAATTGAAAGCCAGGAACCTCTTCAGCCTGATTATCCTGATAGCTTATTTCAGTGCTACAATGTCTGGTTAGCAAATTTTTCTTCAATCTTTTATTTTAATTGGATATTTCATTTGAAGTACTGACTGAAAAACTTGTTTTTGTTAAATTCAGTCCTGCATCTCACTGTACCACTTTATGTACCACAAAGTGTTACACTAAGTTATGTTACAAACATTAAATAATTACAATGTTGAAGCAATTATTAGTTGATAATTTAAATGTGGTTATTTTTAAGCTGGGACAATGGTGATACTGAGAAGATGAGCCCTTGGGACATGGAGCTGATACCAAGTAATGGTATGGTGCATTAGTAATACAATTTGCTTTAAGAGTGTATTTAAAGAAGGAAAGAAATGTTGTATGGTTTTACCTAAATAATCCTGTTTCCCTTGGGGAGTGAGGGGAAGGCCCACAAACCAGTTTCATTTGAAGAACATCCGTATATCAATTACTGAACTAGAAGCAAATCAAGATAAACGAACTGCAAAAAAACAGAAAAACTAAGCGTATGTTGAAAATAGACAGAAATGCTACAAAACCTTACAACAGGTGATGCAGAGTTAACTTTTTGTACAGTTAGGAGGATTGAAGATATAAACGTGTGCCCTACCTCAGCTTTGAGGACACTGGCTGCTCTGAGACCTGACAGCATGCCTGCAGGCGTTCAGCGCATTGAAGGCGCAACATGCGCCTGTGGGACAGTTTGGTAACAGTAGGGTTGGCTCCCTGCCTGGCCCAGCACATGTGGCAGATGACACGCTGCAGAGCGCACAGCAGAGCATGGGCGCTGTTCACAGACAAGAACGTACTGTTTCTTCGTTTCTCACTTGGGTGTTTTTTGAAGATTTCATAAAAATCTGATTTAAAAAAGAAGTAGAATTGGCATTTTTTCCTTGTGTTTTCTAGGAAACATTTGATAATAGTGTCAGTCATAAGTAACCATATAAGTAACCGTAAATAATTCCTAATTCTTTTAAGTTGTAAATGTGTGCATTTCAACTTTTCATTTTGGTTCAACCCTTCTTTCAATGGGTACCTCACAGTCATAAGTAAAATTCAGACGTTAGAGTGGTAACATGACTAAAATAATTAATTAAAATAGGCAGATAACCAAACCTGAACCTGATTTTTTTTTTTTTTTTTGCTTGTTTCACAAATATGTACTTTTTTTTCCCTTTCCTTTAAAAAAAAAAAAAAGAAACAAAACCAACAACTTGTTAGAGAGGAGCACTTTGCATTATTCTCTGAAAATCTACTGTTACATATGAAGTGTCAGAGTTGGTAGGTCCTCAAGAATGCGAGGGTGATGGCACTTTTAATTTGCTTGCTCTGGTTTTAGCATCTGACCTCACAAAACTGTGACAAGGTGGAACCACTACCATTCATTACCAAAACAATTTATTACTAAGAATTTGGGGGTGGTTTTTGGTTTTAGCAGTTTTTTTTTTAAAAAAAAAAAACCTAACAAAAAACAAAGTGCAAACTTTAACAGTGATAAAGTAGTGTCTTAGTTCTAAAATAAATTCTACAGTTAGCTATTTGGGAGAGGATAAATCTTGTTTCATGGACTTGTACACCAAACCGCATTGTAAGGATTTAAATTATAACATACAACAATATTCAGAAAGGATACTGGATGCATCCAAATGTATGTGAGCAAATCAAGAACTATGCATTTGTTTCGGTTAGTAAAATGATGTTGTATATCTTTTGAATTACAGGTATATGTATTACACAAGATAGAGAGACTTATGTTTTATTTAGTTTTCATGTTACGTTCTAGCTGTATTTCCAGAAGAACTGGGAACTAGTGTTCCTTTAACAGATGATGAACGTAGAACGCTGCTCTACAAGCCTCTGGATGGAGAGTGGGGTTCCAGGACCCGAGATGAGGAGTGCGACAGAATTATTGCAGGGATACACCAACTCATGACTCTAGGTAAATCCTGAATAATATGGGAGATGTTTCTGTGTTATATTTTTTCAAATGGTGCTCATGTGTCCTTCTGAAATTACAAAAATGAATGTGATAAAATATACCTTTTAACTGGAACAAAAATTTCCCCTTGCACGTTTTAAATTTTTTCATTAATGAATACATATAAAACCTAAGTTTTCTCCTGTTTTTAAAGGAAACTGATGCTTTTTCGTAAATAATTTGACACATGCTAGGGGCTTGGGTTTTACATGCTAGAAACAAGTACTTGATTTCTTACTTCAGCTACCAGAATCTCTTGTTGGGATTAAAATTGCAAACGTTATGATGAACAGAATATTAACTATGTTACAAGCAGATAGGGGGGAAAAAAAAATCTTACATACTTGCTCAGAGAATGGATACCTCTGTGTAGATTTCCCCTGTATTAGCCTTTTCTTATTCCCGTTTTCTCCCCCACATTGCCTTAGTTGTTATGCAAAATGTTGAGGAAAAAGTAATTGATGAACTCAGAAAAAGCTGCTTGCTACTCAGTTGTAGAGCAATTACTCTTTACAGGCAGCTTCTGAAAAAGTAATTGTTGCAGCGTTTAACACATCACTGCCATATTTACATGATCAAAGATGGGTGTCTGAGATGGAGATCCATCAGTGAAACAGGCTGAATCGGAAGTCTCTATGTTGTGTGATGAGCAAACTGTGTTAAGCAGCAGTCTTAAGCTTGGGGGTAACAGCAGTCATAAATTAAGTTGTCACAGGTAATTTCTGAAGTAATTGTAGCAAGGTAAGACACATAATAACTCTCAAAATACTTCTGATACCTGAATGTCCCACGTTACGGCTTCTTTGGTGACATACTGCATAAGAAGCTTCCCTTTATTTCCAGAATAAAGGAAATGTCCTTACAGTGTAGTAATACAAATTACAGAATTACATTGAAAAAAACCTTGTGAGGTAATGAAACTTTAGTTGTTTCCACTGCATTGTCTAAGAGTAATAGTCTTACATTTTTCGTTACCTTGTCTGGCATACTGCTTAGTTTGGGATTTAACTGTAGCATATGTGGTGCATATCGGTACAAAGTAGCAGTTGCTAGAACATTCATAAGAGTAAGTAAACAGCTTTTAGAAGAAGAGCGGAAAAATGTTTAGCAACAACATATTTTCTGTTTTTAAAGACTTTTGAGAGAGACTTTAAAGTGGTTTTTTATGGTTTGGTTTTACAGTATTTTCCCTTGAGGTATAAAATGTTAGAATGATGTGTCTAAGCACTCGTGATGCTTCTAAGCACAGGAGGAAAAACCCAAGTTTGTGTAGGTGCACAGACTTAAATTGCTCAGCAGTCTTCTAGTATTATGGTGGGTTGGTTTTAGGAGGCTTCTCTGCTATTAGGTAGGGACAGGAGATCATGTTTTTATTCTGTCTCGAGTGTGGATTTTCCCCATGTCTTAATGAGATTGAAAGAGTACTGTAACTTTTATGGTAAGAATTTAATGCATTGCTTTGTTTGAAGATGGGAGAGGGGCAATATAAAACCAAGGGGAATGAGCCTGTGTTGTAAATAACAACACTGAACTGCAGGTCTTCATATATGTACAATCTGTACATTTAAATCTACTTTTCTAATGTGTATACTTTGCACGCGCTTGCCATGTCTCTGAAGAGTGTGGTGCTTCAACACAGCAGAATGGGTAGTGACTGCAGTGTTTGTACTTACAGCATACACCTCAGCAAGCTCTTTTGTTTGTAGAATATCACAAATTGTTTGGAATATCTAGAGTAGTTGTTATTTTTGGGAGAGTGGTATGCATTTCAAACATGAAGAAATAGCATATGTTGTGGGGGGGGGATGAATCTTGAAACTGCCAAGGGACTTCTGTGAAATATAACTTGGACTTTTTTTTTTTTCCCATTCTATCTAGATATTGCTTCTGCATTTGTGGCACCTGTGGATCTTCAAGCTTATCCAATGTATTGCACTGTTGTGGCATATCCCACAGACCTCAGTACCATTAAACAAAGACTGGAAAGCAGATTTTACAGGTTAGACCCAAGTCTCAGTTGCTGCTGCGAAATACTGCCAACCGTATTTTTGGTAGCTCTGTCTTGTAGTACCCAGCTAGGAGATGGGTACAGGTGTGCGCTTTCCGTTTCTCCCATCTTCTGTCCTTGATTCAGATTTCCATTTTATAAAACTTTAGAAAGGAGTGAACATCACTTCTCCAAAATGTATTTTAGAGTTGCATGGCATTCAGATTCCTGCTTATGCAAATCACTTGCTCCATGTGAGACTCAAACTGCAGGACCAGCGACTAGGTCAGTAAAATGGGCTTTAGTCAAAAGGATTCAGTTTGCACTTCATGATTTTTTTTAATCTATTTTTTAATAAAGGAAAACTTAGAAATAAGTGGGTTTGTCCTGATTTAAAAAAAATAAATAAATCATGCATTATCACTTAAGAAGCTACACAGAAAATAGCTTCTTAAATTATTGGCCTTGAAATTCTAAATTGTTGAACAGCAACAAAAATAAGTTTTAACTTTTTGACACTGTTTTGACATTTTCCTAAACTGTGATTGCAACTGCTGGTGGTTTGGGGTTTGTTTTTCTTGTTGTTTTTTTGTTGGATTCCGCGCCCCCCCTCCCCCCCCGTAAATATTATCTATGTAGGAATATGCTCCCTTAAATTCCTTCTGTTTCCTTTGGTTCTTGGGATATATCTAGTTACTAGTGTCCCTCTAATACTTGTTTTGAGTAAACATGGATAGCATTTTGTTTTGGGCCAAATTTCAAAGTTAATTGGTAGTACTTTATGCATACTAACTGAAGATTGAATTCTAAATTAAAATCACTTTTTCATTTTCAAAAAAGCCCTGGTTTTTATACATTATAATGCAATTACTCACATTTGTTGTTCCATGTTTATTGTGTGGTACAAGGTAATCCAGTTTTCACTTCTATAATACATTGCTTTACAGTCGGAGGTGGCAAGGACTTTTTGCTGGATTTTGTTTCTCTTGTCAAAAGAGTAAGCAGCTATTTTTGGTAATCAGCGTACCTTCTTCAGTAAATCTGGTTTTATTAGTTTGCGGTATTGCCAAGACCTGGTTAAGTAATAAGCAACCACCTTGTGTTGTGCTTTCTGGTGAAGTTTTTTTTCTTCACCTTCTGCAAGAGAGATTGTTCAGATCACTTGGGACTTTGGTAGCTTTTCATAAGGCTTATCTTAAAATATATTTCTTTTTTCTCTTCTGAACCAGGAGTCTTAGCATGCCTGTATGTTTTAAAAAATGCAAAACAAAGCACAAAAAATACGATCTTTCCCAGTCACTACTGGCATTGTGTAGAACTAAATGCTGGACCCATAAACATGATTAAATTGCATCTAAACACTTATGCTATGCTAAACAAGTTAAACGATCCCCTGCTTCGCTCTACAAAACACTTGTGCAGCATTTCTTTTCATCTTTCACTGGTATGAAAATAGAAGATTGCATATATTTGTCAGAGTTTTTTATTTGAAATAGTATGTATTTTTTTTTATTGCACCTTTTTAGATGTGGATTTAATTTTTTCAGTTATTTTTGCTTTTATGCATCCTTTTTCATAATGTGGCTGTTCTATAGTTAGGTCATTAAATCAGAGCTATGTGAGGAATTCTGATTGTTGTCTCAGGAAAAGAAAAATATACTTTTTAATAATTTTTGTTATTACTATTCTGTTAATCCTCAGCTGTGACTTAAGAGGTGGTAGTGGGTGCATTATGTATATCATAAAAGAATAATAAAAGTGTAAAGTGTCACAGCTGAATTTTCCTGAGGAGCATCAGCTGTATATTCTTAAAGCCATTTGTATAAATTACCGCAGGACATGACATGAGAGCAGGAAACCTGAGGAAGCTGCCTTCTACTGGTCACATAGGGCAACATACCGAAGTGTGCACGTTTTCTGATTTAATGTAAAAAAATGATGAATGGGTAATACATTGGAAGAAGGATGTAAGGCTTTTTCTCCAGTTTCATATACGTTGGTAGAAATCAAGGCTGTCTTGTCTTTTTTTTGTTTTGTTTTTCTTCCCTTCTTTTGTATACAGGCGCCTTTCTTCATTGATGTGGGAAGTCCGGTACATAGAACATAACACTCGTACGTTTAATGAACCTGGAAGTCCTATTGTCAAATCTGCCAAATTTGTCACAGATCTCCTGCTACACTTCATAAAGTGAGTTGCTTACTAGGTCTGTAGTTATTTCTGTCTCTTATTTAGCCTTTTCAGATCTGAGTTTTAAAGTGAGATAGTTCTGCAGCTTGAATAAGCCTGCTGTTGGGGCAGACAAGAATAAAGCTTGTCTTGACAAAGACGACATAAGTGTGCAAAACAAGATGAAATTCTGTAATACATTGATTGGCGTGGCATTTTATTTCAAGAGACTTTCTGCTAAATTATAAAAATGGGTCTGAGTATCTTTGTGGAGTGATAGGTATATTTATAGATAACTTAGGAGTTCTTATTTTGAGTTTTAAACACTGCCTATGTTAACATAATTGTGGGCATTGTAATTATAAAGTCTTCACAATTTATAATATGATTGAAAATGGTGTTTGATACGCAAAATAAAAATTGGAGGCTTTGTAATCAACAGAAATAGTAGTTACCTTTTAAATATTCTTTTTTACTATTGTCTGTAGAAAAACTCAGAAATGTTTTGGGTTGCTCAGTGTCAGTTGACAGCCTGCAGACCTAGAGCTTGTAAGAAGAGCTGACTGAATGTGTCTGCTGCCTTGATGTGCCTATACACTGTGTGAATGCTGCTCTTCCCACCTTGTAGAAAGGGCAAGATACTTCATTAGCTTAACAAAAGTCATGACATTTTTAGTGATTTAGTTTCTCAGCATTAAATTGAATCTTGTTCTTTTTTATCTCATGTGTTCATAAAAACATTAGAATTGCATTATGTATTTGGGAATCTAGGGCTTTGACTCCACACATAAATATTTGATATCTTCAGTGCCTCTGATATCTGATGTTTGCTGGAAAGTGAAAAATACTTAACTGCTTCAGGTGTTAAAAGTCTTGGTGAAATACACCTTTAGGAATAGATATGTATATAAAGGGCTTCTCTATTACTAATTTTGTTCTTTAATATCTTTGTCCTACGTGGAGTTTTTTCTGATTAATTAAGCAGCTCAGGGTTTTTAAAGGGTGTGTTTTTAATTGGCTTAGCTAAATTACTGCAACACATGGATATTTTTATTTAATAATGGCCTATAGTTTGTGTCTATTAATATACTTAAGTGAATTAGCAATGCATGTAAAGCCCAGACTTTTTTTTTTTTTAGGGTTCTAACTTTGGGGTAGAAGGCCTAGACCATGGAAGGCAAACCCCATGATTCTAATGAAAGTGAAATATCGAGATGCCTCTGAGAATCTAAGGCTTAGTCTCTAAGTTATCCAAGTCTTTTCAAAAGCAGAAAATGGGGGAAGAGTGGGGAGTGTTGCTGGATTTTTTTTTTTTTGTTGTTAAATTATTTTTTCCACATTCTCCCCCAGCTGTTCAAGTGAGAATCGCAATAGCCTGTGCTATGGGTTACGATTCCAATGCAGAGTTGCTGAGTGTTTACTCCTTTTTTTTCTAATGGCTTGTATTGCTACATAGCAGAACGCATTTGGGCTTTCTTTTGTGTAGGGGTTTGCTATGTTAACAAGAGTTGAAAATCAGCGTTAGTTTTGCTGATTTAGTTATGCAGATTTATACAGTAACAGCATTAGTCATTACACAAATAAACATTACGTTTGAAATGCCTTACATTGAGGGTGCTAATGTATTAAATTGCATTTTTGTACACTAAATCCACTGTAGTGTTTCTTACAAAGCTCAAAACCCTCTATGTGGTGTAGTATTAGATTTTGCTAATGCTAATAAATTCACAGTAAAGGATTATGATTTTTAATTTTAACACTGTTAAGTGGTCTATATTTTACAGAGCGCAGCTAATATTTTACAGCTTTTTGAGCAGAAGATTAGCTTTTCTTATTACGGCAGTCCTCTTAGTATTCATCTAGCACTACACACTGTGTCGTTTTATTTGGGAATGGCTTCATAAACATTTGCCTTTTCTGAGGCAAAATACATTTGATTCCACAGGTGAAGATGGAAAATAAATGTTCATGTGTGTTTCTTTTTACACAGAGACCAGAGTTGCTATGACATAATTCCATTATACAATGCAATGAAGAAGAAAGTGTTGTCTGACTCTGATGAGGTAAGCGGTTGTGTCTTAGACATTGGCATTGACAGACTGGAGAAACGGGACCACTGTCTCTGTCCTACTGGATACGGCAGTACTGCTTTCGGTCACTGTAAGGGAGTGGGGTGTGCTTTTCTGTCAGTTAAATGTTTCTTTTTGTCAGCCGGGAGTCTGGGTAAAAGTCCAGCCGCCTCTCCTTTAGTGCAGCGAGTTTAACCGTTTACTGGAGAATTTAGATGCTGCTTAGACTTCTGAGAGGTTCTCAGAATGGACGGTCACGTGAAACACTTCCCAGAGGGACAGGGATAGAACTGTAAAAACTCGAGTTATAAGTGAAGTATAAAAGAACTCACCTACTCATATATGCTTATATTTTTTTAACCTTTTTATGCGACTCATTATCTTGCTCAAAGGAAGAAGAGAAAGATACAAATGTGCCAGGAACTTCCACTAGAAAAAGAAAGGTAATTTGTTGTTGGTTTTATTTATAGTGCTGTAAATAATTAGAAATGCATTTGTAAAGAAAGGATTGTACAACTGAAAAGGTTTTCATTAACGTGCAATGTCAGCTTTTGGAAAGTTTTGAACTTTGTGATGTGTTGTTCTCCTGAGGTGTTCAATGTAAACGCATTTCTGTCTGTGCTGCTGCGTGTTACGAATTCATTAATTAGAATTTATATCCTGTGGGGTACATCTTCCATTAGATGTTGTAAAAACAGCTGGTTTGTTTAATATGTACCAGACAATATTGTCATTTCAGGATCATCAGCCAAAGCGGCGGCTACGTAATAGAGCTCAGTCATATGACATTCAGTCATGGAAGAAGCAGTGCCAGGAGCTGCTGAATCTTATTTTTCAGTGTGAAGACTCTGAACCGTTTCGACAGCCAGTGGATCTCCTTGAATATCCAGTGAGTATTTTAGAACAGGAAGGCTGACTATAATCCCGTTGTTAGGTTTTTGGGGGTTTTCGGTGTGTGGGTGTTTGTGGGGGGAGGGGGTGTTTGGTTTTTTTTTTTACTATGACCATTTTTCCAACTCTCTTACTTGAATCCTCAGGCAGCTCTATTGACAGAATCTTTTTCAGTGCTTGGTTGTCACATGATAATAAAGTTTATGGTCTCCTTAAAGTAATTTCAAAAGAAATTGTACTTCTGCTTTCTTAAATACTTCAGTTGCAAAATGTTTTATATTCAAGGATGCCTGTGGTGGTAAGTAAATTACAGCTTTTGCAATTAAGATGCATCTTTCCTTTTCTGAGTGAAAAACGGTCATACACGAAGCACATACGTTTGGTTGTTGCATGTGACAAGTGTTGTCATGGATCACTTCTTGTTTTCATTTCAGAAGCACAAAAACTAAAAATAATTTTCATATCACAGTCATGTGGGCTGGATGCAGAACAAATACCCACTGAAGAACTGTAGTGAACCATTAACTGTAGTAACAGTGGCTTTCCCGAATTTCGCTTTCTGCCGGGGTGGTTGCACTGGAGTTCGGATAGCCGTGAGCAGCCATTTGTGACTACAGGATATTTTAACGCAAAAGTCTTGTTGCCTTGGATCTCTTTTGGCCTTTTAGGCTAGTTTTACTTTGAGCAACAAAGCAAAGGTTTTGCATGCTTTTTCCATCTAGCGTATCTTATGTTTTTCTTTTAAAGTATCCCTCTAAGGAGACTAACTTGGGGGAAATGAATCGTCCCAATTAGAGAAAAGAAAGGCTTTGCTTTCGGAAGTCACTAGTAGGTCTGTCTTGACACTTCTGCAGCCATTGGGCACCATAATTTTTGACGTAACCTAAACTTTATGCCATGGCCAATTACAAGTGGCCCTTTGTGCTTGAGATCCTCAGATGAGCTGATGTAGAGCCACCTTACTGGGCTGGGGTATGCTCCCATGCATATGTTAGGTATGCTGGGGTCACAAACCTCTTTAACCTTCAGAGGAACTCAGACAGGTTCTATTTGCCCTGATGGATTAAGTTAACTTTTTGGTTAATTTTGGTATTAAAGCTTTGTGTCGTGTATGGATATTCCCATTTCTTCCATAGCCTGGAAAAAAAGTTCTGTCACTGGCTTGAACAGGGTCCTATTTAAGCCTGTGGAGTTTTCATTATCTTAATACTACTTTCCTGAATTGTGAGGTTTCCATTTGGGAAACTGCTCAGGTTTCAGCAGAGATGTGCTAAGCCTCTGATCAGGTTCAAATATTCAGACTTTGTATTTCAAAGCTAATGTGTAAAACCAGTATTAGTCTTAGTACCAAGTTTGAGCTGTCAGGCCACCCTGAAACTTGTAGTCACACTTCTGTGTCGCGGTTACCTTCATGACAGTGTGTCAGTAACATAACCCTTAGGACACAAAATTTTGAGCTCTGTATTTCAGTAAATCTGTTTAGAAAATGAATTAAGTCTTGTATCGGTTAACTTCTGTCCTCGATCCTGTTGGGTATGTCTGTGACGAGTTACGTTGTGTTTGAGTAGAAAGGAGCAAAATGTCTTTAGCAGTCTTCCATACCTATTAAAAGAGGACACTTGGTTTAAACAGCTTTATCGAATGCATCCTAATGATACATTAAGACTTGGAGGGGAAAAAAAAATTGTAATACACTGCTGTGCTGTTTCTCAACAGGATTATAGAGATATTATTGACACTCCTATGGATTTTGCTACTGTTAGAGAAACACTGGAAGCCGGAAACTATGAGTCACCGATGGAGTTATGTAAAGATGTGAGACTTATTTTCAGCAATTCCAAGGCCTATACACCAAGTAAAAGATCGAGGGTAAGACTTTATTTTCTTTTTGTTGTTGTTGTTTGAAAGAATATTTACATCTGAAAAATACAGGACAGAAAAACAGAGAGACAGTGCAATTGATTACGTTAAAAATAAGTTTAATTATTTCTTATTTTCAAACACGAATATTTCTGAGAAAGTAGTACAGATTTGTATTTTAAAGGAAAGGAATGTATGCTCTTTAAAAGCGTAAAGTTCTGATGCTCTGCAAGTGTGTTTCAAAAGTAAATACTTGAAAGTGGATCTAAAGGGAGAGACACATTGAAGGAAAGAACTGTAGAAACATGATTGTGGGTACAGTAGTGGAATTTAACTGATATTTTTAGGAAGAATCTAGATTTTCAAAACACACACACATGCAGAGCCCTAAACTCCTCCACTTTGGAGGTTGCCCCAAGCTGAAATACCCAGGTATAGAGAGTAGAGGATAATGAAATTCTGTGCTGTTCACCAGCATGCAGTGAGATGGTAATGAAGCACTTGGGATTTTTGGGAAGCAGAACTGTTTACACAAAGCATGAGCCTACAAAAGCCATTCTTGCTGAGCTGATATGCCCTGCCAGTGGTAGAGTTAATAATATTTTCTCTCAAATTGACTTGTAGGTGCAGTATCTCTTAGCAGTGAAAGTTATAAATGTATACTTACGCATATTCAAGGCTTCTGTGTTGCTTTTCTTCTACTGCTCTGCATTAGGTGTTAGACTAGAATTATTAATAGCTTCAGCTGTTCTAAATAGCAAATGGATCATCAGGACTTTATTGTCTTAAAACGCAGGGACAAATTCCTCAGTAGGTGACTAGCCAGAAGGACTGATCAGTGATTGACATCTCTTCAGTCAGTCATGGGCAACTCCTACTCGCTGTTTGGGCCGCCTAAGGATCAGTCTCTTGTCTTTCAGTTGTGTCAGAGGGCAGGGCTTTCGGGGCAGGTCTGGATTCTTTTGTGGTTTTTTTCATTCTCTTCTTGATCTCCTCAAACTAAGATAGGAGAATGCTTGTCATTATCTTAGCTCCATGTGGTTTCAGATTCTTCTGACATTTTTATATTTTTTTTCATGTTTCTTCCAAACAGTAGTAAACTTGTAGCTCTTTTTCATTTTACTTAGAAGTGGAAGGTTCTGATATCAAGAATTTTAATATTCCAGAACCTATGTACTTTCAGTGCATGCAACATGTGGTTGTTGAATGGTGATGTTGTTACTCTGGCTTGTCATTCAGTGATATTTTTAGCATCTTACTTTACATCACTGATGCTTACTTGAAAAGTAAACCTAAACCTGTTAGCTTTTTTTTTTTTTTCCTCTTGGCATGTTAGACATACATTTTTATATAGTTCTTTACTTTTTTTTTTTTAAATGAAATTTCTTTGGATGTTCTCTCCAGTAATGCGTGCAGAATCTGTCACACTTACTGTTTAATCTGGCACTCAGACAGTTTGTCTGGTGTGTCATTAGGTAGGCAGCTGTTTAATATTGTCTTTGCATTCCATATTCAAAGAAGGTGCCATGTCCTCTCTTAAAGTATCTAGACAGTTTGCTTCGGTGTTTTTTGTTTCCAGAATTAGAATTAATAGCAGCTGTGCTCAAATAATTACTTGTGATCTAAACTGAGTTTGGTTATGTCTTCCTGTAAATCATCCAAGGCGGGGTGGGGCAGAAAAACTTGCACCTACATAATTCTAATACATTGATTGTACCTGTTGCAACTGAGTCATGGGTAGTATCAGTTCATCCATAAGAGGAATAGACTGATGTTCAAATATAGGGCATAAGGATGCAACTTAATACAGAAGAAGATTAGATTTCTTGACCCAAGGTATGAGATGGTAAAATTCTGTTAAGGATCTCGTTCTGTGGTTTCTGCTGAAGCAGGAAAGGGATGCGTTCTGGAAAGGCAGTGGAAGAGGTGGCTTTTTCTAATTTTTCCTTTTGTGTGTGATCTCCAGTTGTAGTACACTTTCAAAACCATGAAAATACTGAAAGCAAACCTACATGTGGATTTGTTGATGCAGACCGTAAATTTCCTTTAAAACTTTTCCATATTAATGAGTGTTTGCGTCTAGATATTGTTCAATGATTAAGTAAAGTAATGCTTTGGAAAAGTGTAAAACTTTCTTGTTTACTGGCTTTTCTTTTTTAGATCTACAGCATGAGCTTGCGCCTTTCTGCTTTCTTTGAAGAACACATAAGTTCTATTTTATCAGATTATAAATCTGCCCTACGCTTTCATAAAAGAAACACAATAAAGAAACGAAGGAAAAAAAGAAGTAGAAGCAGCTCGGTTTCCAGTAGCGTTGCATCCAGGTACGTTAATTCCTTTACAGTATTCACAAAATGCTGTGCAAGTTTGACATACCTGAGCAGTAGAACTTAGTGTGGTTTTTTTTTCTTCATACTTCCTTTACTATTCCCTATATTGCAGAATGATAGCTTGGACATGCAAGTCCCTATGGTGTGGAAGAGTTTTAAACTTTACTTAGAGCTATCCTAGTGTAAGTGCTTAAAATTCAAATAACTCCTAAACATGTAGCGTAAAGCAGCATCGTTAAGGATAGTGATGGCATCATGCTTTGTTATATGACTATAGCATTTATTTTAAAGATTCGCTTTTCAGAGGCTCACAACTACATGAATTTCCACAGTAAATGTCATATTTTTAACATACTTCATACAAAGGTGATTGTTCTACTCCCATGATCTCAGACACTATCGCATTTAACTTTATTTACTCCTGCGAAATAAAAAAGTGGTCATCCAGGATACAGATTGTTCTTACTTTTGCAGCCCTGAGAGGAAGAGGAGATTAATAAAACCTCAGCCAAAGGCAGAAACTTCTGCCCCTTCGTCATCATCTGCACCTGCACGGTCAACTGCACTGAGACATGCTCCACCTCAGATGAATGGAAAAGCAGCTGAAACCTCTTCCCTTGTGCGGACTAGAAGCAATAGGGGGATAACAGATGTAGCTGTTACAGAGCAACCATCTACTTCTTCAGGAGCAAAGCCTTTAACAATAAAGCCTTTAATTACAAAGCCTAATACTACTGCAGGGTCAGGAAAGTCAGGCAAGTTGTTTTTCTTTTAAGCTACGAATGTTTTTAACATAAAACTTGCTTTTTGGAAATCTAATGTATTTGTCTCAGTTAAGACTGGTTCTGTTTTCAAGTTGCTGGTCCTCTGAGGTTCTTCAGAGGAGACCTGAACAAGTTAGGCTATGTTGTTTTATCCAGGAAGCTTTCTCACTTCTAGATCACTGATTCAAATCGTTTGCTTGTAGTAGGACATGACTTCCTTTTTAGCCAGATAAGTAGTTTATACCACATACAGTCCTAACATGAATAACTTTTTTTTTTTTTTCCTTTGTGTCCTTCTAGTACTGGAGAATTCAACCAAACATTCCAAGAACCAGAATATTGTATCAGTCCCTAGTCAGTCTGATTACAGTCACAACACTAGGAATAACTCCACAAGAGAAAATGCCGAGAAAGAGAAGCAAATCAAGCGCAAAGTAAAATCGTCCACTGTTAATCAACAAGGTATGGAGTTTCTTTGGAACTCTTCCCCTCCCCCAGTTATTAGTTGTGATCATTTGCGGGTGGGGAAATTAGTATGCATTGTGATTTAGCAGAATAGGGAAGCCTAATGGAACAACTCAGTCACAGTTCATTTCCTTGATAAATTAGCACGGTTTTGACTACTCTCAACACCATTTTCATGATGTGATAACTGTGTCGTCTAGCCCATTTTGATATGTTAACGTATCTGTACCTTCATTTAAATTATTACAAGGGTCCTGTTGCGAGTTCTCAGATTCCAAAGCAGACTTCTGCAGGCTCACACTTTAAACCCTGTGGGTTCTCCCTAATAAAACTTGTGTGGGATATATTTGGGTCAGTAGCGCTGAGCGTGATGACATTCTCCACAACCATGAGCATAAAGGTCAGAGCCTCCCAACTGCAACTTTATTCTTTCGGGTTTTGCCACAGCAAGATAGAACCTACACAGCGTTTACTGCTTCTGCTTAATATATTTGTGTGGATTGATCGGACCTGGTTCCATGTAATCTTCTGACTGAACTTGTTTGGTCTTTTGATGTCTGGATACCTTAAGAGTCAGAGCTTCTCTCCTGCACATTCCACTCACGTGACAGAGGAGGCCTTTGCTTTTAGTGCATGATGGGGCACATTTGAACACAGCAGGAGCTGTGCATGGATGTTCCATCAAAGGACTGGAAGATCCATCATGCTGGCTATGAGCCTGTTCCTGGTCACGTTTTAGGCAAGGGCTGTGGTATCAGAACGTCTCCACAAGAGGTCCAGAGGAAGTTGAGTACCACTCACCTAAGGAAAACTCACAGCCTATAGAAGTCTCCAAACAAGTATCTTCTGCCATTTGTCTGTTAACATGAGAAATCTGTGCAAATTGCATTACTCTCCCGCGTTTCTACCCTTTCCCTTGCTTATTGTTGAAGTAATCCCAGCCTAATGAACTGGCTATAAACGGTGCTGCCTCCGGTTGAAAGAAACTTCCATTTCTCCAGAGGTGACCCGCTTGTGAAGCATTCCCAATCCTTGCAGCAGTGCTGCTTGAGCAACTTTTTGCTGCAGCAGATACCAGACAGGAGGTTTTGTCCACTGGTGGTGTTATTGGCCAAGAAGAACACCTGAGCCTGTTCCCTTTTCTATTTTTTTTCTGGTTTTGTTTTGTGGTTTTGGTTTTTTTTTTTTTCTTCAGGCTACCTTGAGCTAAACCCAACTGGAAGTTAGTCCTTGTTGCATACTGGCATGAAGCTCTTTGAGCTCTACTTTGGGTTTTTTAGATTTTGACAGATTGGCAATCGCTGTGAATCCATTCAGATATTTTAGTAAGAGTTTTATTAAGGCAGTGTGAAAATGAATGTAAATGCAAATCTGTTACATGTTAAGTATTCTCATTTCTTTACAGCAGATTGCAAGAATAATGCTTTGGCATCAGGAAGCATTCAGGTGAACGGACATGGAGGACAGCCTTCGAAACCTCCTGTTAAAAGAGGTCCCGGACGGAAACCGAAGGTGGAGACTAATAACAGTAGCTGTGAAGTGGTGCACAAGAAGAGAGGCAGAAAACCAAAAAAGCTACAAATTGTTGAACAGCAAAAGGTCTCAGAGCAGAATACAGTCCCGACCGCAAGGGATACACCAGAAGAAGCCTCTGCTTCTACTGCATGCAATTCTCTTTCTGAAAACAATATGAAGGAAGACTTGTTACAAAAAAAAGGCCGTGGGGGTAGAAAGCCAAAAAGGAAGATAAAGACCCATCAGCCAGGCTCGGACCTCTTAGTTCCTGCGAATGTTAAAATGCAGACAAGAAGCAGGAGGAAAAAGATAGATGAGCCTATGGAGGAGGGGTCTGAAGAGCTTAAAGAGTCTGAACCTCACATGAGAACTAGAAACCAGGGTAGGAGGACAGCCTTTTACAATGAAGATGACTCTGAGGAAGAGCAAAGGCAGCTATTGTTTGAAGACACCTCCTTAACTTTTGGAACGTCTAGCAGAGGCCGAGTCCGAAAGTTGACTGAAAAAGCAAAAGCTAATTTAATTGGTTGGTAATTTTTACCAAGGGTTTTATTCAGAATGCTATGGAGCAGGTACCATTAAGGAACAGCAGAACAGACTTCTGCTTCCCTGCTGCTATTATGGGTTAGAAGAGTATGTTCTGATTTGGGGAGAAAAATTTAGCAAAAAATAAACTGAAAGAACATTCTTTGAAAGAAATATATATTTTAAACTTTTGCTATTTATTGCCCTCCAAATAGGTTCTGCATTTCAACAGTCATTTTGTTCACAGTTGAGAATAATCGAAGCAATTTCTGACTGATGTACGGAGTTGAGAACTACTCTGCTCGCGTAGTGCGTAGTATCTCTACACAATTAAAAAAAGGTTGATAGAACTTTTAACGCCACAAACTGAAAACAGAAGTCTATTTTTGACCAAGCAAGGTACACATTGATTGTAAAGTCAAGTTGCCTAGGAAGGCAGATTTTGGCAAAAAGTGGCAGTAAATTCACTTACGTTTCTATTAAACACAAAAATACCAAACTTTGCTAATCTGAAAATGCTTAATTTCAGTAGCGATGGAACGTTCAACTGCAAAAGAAGCCTAGCACAGGCTGTCGGTTTATCCAAGTTCTGCCAAACATAGCAAAAATGTAATCACAAAGATATATATATATCCACATTGGAAAAAGTTTGACTAATGTCTAATTTTTCAGACCTTGATTCTTGTATCAATCACTAAATCTCTGTTTATTGTGCCAAAGACTGAGAATCAGTGCAGTGGAAAGCCTTTTTTTCTTTTTGAGTGTCAGTACAGCATACCATTTGCAGTGATAAAAGCTGTGTATTGTTTTAAATAGTAAGTTGTTAACATTGTTCTGAAATGTATCCTTTTTGGTACTTTTGGTAGAAAATAATGCACTGGTGGGGTCCTTTGACAGAGATGTGTTAGACAAAATGTAAAATTGGTTAAAGGATTCAAGGAAATTACAGGACAGGTATGGAATGATGATGTTTACTTTCTGATCCAGATTGATTGTTGTTTCTACAACTTTAGACATGCTTAAGAGGCTAAAATGACCTACAAAGAAGAGTGTATGTGTATATATTAATATATACATAAACACATACATATAAAATATTACCCAGGTATAAATTTTTTTCAGGATTTTTTAGATAGCACTAGAACTGAAAATAAATTTTAAAATGTCATACTTTATAGTTTAATTTTAAGGGGAAGATTGGTTATTTTCAATTATTAAGGTTAAAAGGCCAAATCACTTTTTATGCAATCATGTTTTATACAGTGGTCTCATTGCACATTGTGTTTTTCTGCACTTTTTATGGTATATCACGCTGACATAAGTCAATATACACCCTAAAGAAAAATTCCATTTAATGATTGTGCCTTGTATTCTATTATTTCTTGCATCCTTAGTAAAATTAAGTTGTCTATTGTAAATGATAACTATATGACTTAGGGGAATGTATTGTTATATGTACTGCTCTGGAAAAGAAAAGCAGTTATTTATTTGTTTATGGTACATTTAGTTATTTTATACCTTTACAAACAAACTTTAATACCATTTTCTATCACTTAAAAAAGTATTGTCCAGTTTTAAGGAAAAAAAAAAATACAGAAGTAGTCGTATATTCTGAGATCTGGTATGGTACAAAAATGTAACCAAAATTTTCTGGTTATACGTTATTTTGGAAGTTTGGGTAGTATGAAAGATTTTTTTTTTGTGTGTGTGACCCTAACGTAGTTGAAAAAATAAACCTGAAATGAAACCTCAATTCTGCACACCCTTACTTTATAATAATCCTTTTGTTTGGTTGGTTTTGTTTTGTTCTGGTTTTTTTTTTTTGGTTTTTTTTTGGTTTGTTTGGTTTTTTTTAACAAACCTCAACTGCAGTATCTGGAAGAGAGGGCATACAGAATTAAGACCTTAAATTTGCACAGATTCTGTATACTTATTTGAGGCCTAATTCTTCACTCTCTATTTTCTGTTACAAAAGACCCTTAAATGGTTGAACAAAGAACATTGGTGTATGGCACCAAGAGGAATAGCAATACGCTACTGTGGATAGCAAGTTGGTGTCCACCATACCTAGCTTTCTGTGTAGTTCATTATGCATTTTGCTACAAAAAATGCCTAAAAGATGTTCCAGATCCTCTTTGAATTGTTACAGATACTAATTTAGGGAGCAGGGATTAGTTTGCATTTCATTTGCCGGTATATTTATTTTTTTCTAACAAGTATTTATCATTCAATTAAAATGGAGTCACTAAACACATGGTAAGATAACAAGCTATGGTCGTACGGTTGCAATACAGCTTCACAATTCAAAGTTAATTGATTCTACTTGTTAATTTTGTCAGATCTCACTGATGAAGGCAATCATTTGAAAATGTGTAATTTCCTGATGTTATCTGCATTGTAATATACGGAATAGATTATATCTAAAATTCAACTTCTGTATTTACTCCATTTGTAAGAATGTTTTATATGGCATGTTTATGTATATATTTATATATCGAAAATACCTTGTATGTGAGTTTTGGAGACTGAAATAATATGCGTTCCCTTAACAGTAGGTAGAAAATTGTACATCTTAATTTTACGAGGATAGAAGGCCTTACCTGCAGAACATGGGTACTGCTTCCCACCCAGTAATGTCGGTGACTTTAGCCAGTGATTTTTTAAATTCATATTACACACATTCGTGCTTTTCCTTTCAAAGTAAATTATGGATAATTTGGGAATTCTTTCTTATAGAAGCAACACTAAAAATTAATAGAAATTAATTCCAGATTTATTTAAAAGTTATATTTTTATAATTTAATTTCACTAGGTTGCAAATTTTATTTATGAGACTTTAGTCACCATCAGACTGTGCATTTTAGTCGGGGAAAAAATGTGTTATTTGAGGTGGTTGTGACTGTGTCAACACGGAAAAAGAGCTTTTGATTATGAAGTCTTAAGTTTTTAAATGTGAGCAATAAAACTATGGGTCAGTGTACTGGAATAATTTAAGAACTATAGTTACATGCATGTTTTGTAATGCCATCAACATATACCTAACAGCTGGTTCAGAAAACAGAGTTATCAAAATCTCATGTGCTTGTTTCACGTTTGCATTGTAAATAACATGGGTTCGTAGCATACACCCGCAAACGATCTTACAGACCTGGCAGCAATTAACGCAGTTTTATTCATTGAATTCATTTATATTTGACATGGATATGAGGATACTGTTCTGGTATTTCTACTCTATACTGGGAAATGTTAAAATTGGTATTTACCGCTGAGCGGTATCTTAATAACAGTGTGTTTTCTAACTACCGATGAGGAAATGAGTTCTGTTTCTGTGATACCGGTGTGCTCTAAATGTTTAACAGAAATCACTGTGCCTGTGCCTACATACTTACCAACCCTTCAGCCGTTTTGTTTCTGTTTGTTAGTGTGTTCTCTGGGAACTGAACTTAAAATTTTACCGCGATAGTGTTCATTATTGTCAATATTGAACTAGAGCTCTTCGTCACTTGGCAATGACCAGTGATACAACTTTACAGAAAAATGTCTTCCTCCAGTGATTAGACTGCTGTGATATATATTTGCATATGTTTATTTGTACAGTGTCCGGTTTGTACATGTGATCAGTTTGTTGATAGACTTGTAAGATTGAGTTGGTTGAGTTAAATATTACTATGGCTTAATATTTGTAAAACTATTCATTGATAAAGGACCCTGATGCAGCACGTAGGATATATTAATATCTATAAAAAAAATAAATTGTAGTGTAGAGACAACTTATTCGCTGTATTGCTGTACAAATATTTTTCAAGTACCAATTCTGATTCTGTGCCAGAGGCTTTTGTCTTACCAAAAAAAGGCTACATACAACACAAAATAGTCTGTCCATTCGGTAACTTCAAGCTTGTTACAATTTTTACACCACATTGTTAAATCTTTTGCTCACGTTTGTTGGATCAAGGACTGCAAGTAAATGCTAAAGCATGTGATTTGAATTTAGGCAGATATTAAATGGTTGACTGGTTCTATGAAAGCTTAACTGGATGGGACCCTTTCACCCCATACTTACACAGTAGATTGGAGTTTAGAGGTTTCCAGCCTCGTTTTCATCAACTCTTGTACTTAATTTTGAAGCATGCAAATCTTGCTGAGATGATTTTAACATAATGCTGGTCAATCAAGGTACAGCCATACCACAATAGTTACGTTGTGTCCTGAGTCCTTAGCTTACTCTGAAGGTAGTGTATTTTGTCCACAGTAGGTTTGTTTTTTTCCAAAGGTTTTTCTTTTTGCCTTTTTTTTTTAACACAGTTGAGTGTGTAACAAGAATTTACGTACAACTCTGCAAGAGCGCTGTGATACAGAAGGAAGAGGGTTTTAAAACCTCACCTAGAAACAGCAAAAGCTCATTTTCTGTTTACTACCTAATGAAGACAAATTAGCTGTGTAAAATTGTTATAGAATATATTTTCTTTCATCCCTGAAGTTCTTCTAACAGATTGGTTTCCAGGGGGACCTAGATATTCAACTGATAAAAGGGCTGTTAGCTTTCTGCTGTAAATTATTGTATATACGTGCTTGTTCATATGCAGAGGAAAGCGTATTAAACCTCATAAAATTGGCCAAGGCTTGGCAGTGTGTTTCCAAGAGCAACTCTGACACTGACAGCTTCCGTAGCTCCCGTTTTTGAACCGGGAATACAGCTTGTACACCACCTTCTGTGTCTGGGGGAAACGTCAGGTAGCTTTTAAACTAGAGCTAACCTTGAGGTGCTCTTGCATTTGAGCTAATTTTAACATGGGAATTCGCCGTGTCGTTTCACTGTGTGTTAGAGGAGGAAACATGCCGAGAAAGCTAGATTAGAAGGCATCTTAAATGCAGAAAAAGGCAATTAGCTTTTTTTTGTGGTTTGTTTGGGGTTTTTTTTTTTTTCTTCCCCCGAGGGTATAACAGCCTCAAGGCACTCTAGAGAGAAACCGTATATGCTGCAATAAAATAAAGGTGAATAAATTTAGCTTTTTGGGGGTAGGTAGTGAGACAAGTAGTCATTTGGATCCTTTTTAATGCAGATAAATACATCAGGAAATTCACTTCAAATAATGCAAACAATACATTTTAGGGAGGGGAGGTAGTACTATAGTATGAATTTCTACCCTGAAAGAACGAAGAACGAGGTCAGACAAACTAGGAGTAGAAAGAAACCTAAGTACCTATGGTGTACACATGCCTGTATGATGTACATGTACTATTTTGTGCTTACAGCCGTGTGTGTTGGTTTGCAAATACTTTGAGACCATAGAGAAGTTACATTTTTGGACCATACTAAAACTTCAGAAGTGTGGCGGACAACTGGATAATGATCTTGCGTGAATTAAATTGTCATAATGTTTAAATATGTATAGAATGGAGCTCAACTTCGAGGAAATGACCTAGAAAGGTTAATTTTGAAACTGACACATTTTCAGATTAAAAATTACGCTTATTTTGTACAGAATTATGTAAAACACAAATCTGTTGTATGTAATGAGTAACAGTTTTGAAAACTATAATTCTTTAGCTTTATCAAGGTTTTTTTTTCCTTCCAGAAATCTGGATTATCATGTTATAACCTGAAGTATCTCACCAGGATAACAGTGCCCTTTCTTTTTGTACATACGGATTGGAAATTTCTTTACTGTTACGTGGACACTTTCTATGTTAGTTTTGATGCATAATACTTTGAATCCTTTTATACAAACTAGAATGTATGTGTAAGAATTACTGTCACTGCAATGTAGTAACTACAAACTTATTTTTAAATAAATAGAAAACATGTTTTTCTAAGCTGTCCAACAGTGTTTGTTTCTATCAGGCCATGTACTGCGTTACGGGACAATTGCTTACGCGTTCCTCAAAACAGCCTAAAAACAATTTGTTTGGATTCCCCATGGAATAGCGTGGCATAGCGTATCACGTGGGAACAGGCAAAATTACAACCAGAGCCCTCTGACAGAGATCAAAACTTGCTCCTTTGTAGGGTTTTTCACTGAAACCCACCATTCTGGAGGCACTACAAAGGCACTAGCAGCCACTAGATGCCATCTTGGCTCACATGTGCAGCAGGGCACCCACAGAAGCCATCCCTGTTGGGGTGACAGCCGTGTGTAGCAGAGCTACGGCCAATCTATGTGGAATCCTTCCCAACAACCCCAGGAGAAGGTAAAACCAACTCGGCAGAGAGGAGTCCCCCGCCTCCCTGCATGTAGAATGCTGCTCTCCAGTCTAGGTGGGTGATGGGCAATGCACCAAAAAGTCAGTACGGGATGTGCGTTCACAACGCCGTGGGCTTGGTTTGTTCATATCTAGGTGTTTCTGCTCAATAGGTGGTAAGGCAAAATAAGTGTTTGGTATTTCACATAGCGCACCGCATGGATTCCGTTTAGTTTCATGTGTTACATGATCAGGGGATCTCCTCGATGTGTACCTTACCTGAAGTCACAAGGGAGTGAGCAATCGGAGAAACCCTTGCTGGCCTCTCAGGTGCAGGTATGCGTGCTGCTGAGCATGGCATCAGGCAATGGTCAGAGCAGGACAAAGTGAGTTCCCCAGAGCTTTCCAGACGCGTCCACTGTGGAGTCTGTGGCAAAAGCAAGACTTGTTTTAGCAGACAAGGAAAAACCTCTGAAGTGTCTGCATGAGTTTCAGTAACTGGTGCTTTCTGCTTGGAGAGAAAGAATTTTAGAATACTGCAAATGCAATACACTTCCTCCTGTGCGTTTGTTACAGTACGGGGGTGGTAGTTCTATTGTATACACATCTCCAGCATTACAGTATTATAACAGTAACGCGCTCTTCCCAAAACGTGCCACCCCAGGCCCGGGATTTTAGTTCTAGGCCTGGTTTTAATTTTGTTGCTGTGAATAGTCTTAAGCAGCTCATGATTTTTTTGTTTGTTTGTTTGTTTCTTTTTTCTAAGGGAGATTTTATACTAAGTCTACAGTCTTTTCTTTTTAAAAGACCTTTTTCTGTGTAATTTTGTACGGAATCGTATCCCAGTTCTCTCCTCACCCCTGTCACAGGTGTCTTTTTAAAACCTACTGTGGTTATTTTACTTTGAGCAGGAATCAAGACTTTGCTTAGGGTTAACAGGTACTGTGAAGTGTTGGTACCTGACAGCCAGGTGCCATCTGTGCCAGTACTAACACTTTGTCACCTCGTTAATACCATTTACTCCTGTTAGATCCTAACGATCGTTAAATGAAGGAAATGATGTATGACTGTTGAAGCTGACCATTTTGTTTTCAGGTTGAAAAGTTCTTGTACCAAAACCCGTGTCCTTCCCTGCTCTGGCAATCAACAGGAACTTCACAAAAGAGCATGTTTGTCATTTTTCCCAAAGACAAACGAGTGAAGTGTAATGGCTTTAAAAATTAATCAATGTTTCTATTTGAAGCACATGTGAAAATAAAGCAAGTGCCAGAAAACTAAAACCAGCAAGCAATGTAGAAGGTGACTGGAATTTAAATAGCATCTAATTGAGTTATCATACACAAAATCAGCATGCAAAATGTAATTTTTGTGGGGTTTTACTAATGTGGACAGGAAACCCGAAGCCCCAACCTCTCAGGCTGTGTTTCTAGCTCAGAGAAATGATGTGTGTTAGATACCTGCACAACAGGCTTTAACTGACTCTTTTGCAAGTGAGGATCCTCTCTCATGCTTTGAAATCTGTGCATGCGCTGAAGGGAGGACAGGGTAGAGATTTCTGGAATGCTGCTTCTCATCTGGTAACAGCCATTCCAATTTCCTTCGTGCTTCCTTGTCTCGGAAATGGGGAGGTTTTACCTAAACTCAGCCCTATCTGCCCCTCATTTTACTTTAGCTTGTAGGCACATCAGCGAAAAACCAAGAGAAAGAGGGAACAAGAGCAGAGGCGGGTAATCAATTCATTCAGCATCAAATTTCTGCAGACGCATATTCCTGATGACACCAAACTAAATGTTAGTATTCAGCAGCCAGGCGGCCTTATCTGTTAATTTGTGCTTTGTGTATTCCTGACGACACCAAGTTCAAACTAAATGTTAGTATTCAGCGGCCAGGCGGCCTTATCTGTTAATTTGTGCTTTGTCTCGAGTCTCTGAACTTGACTTTGAACAAGGATACTCAAAATAATAAAGACGGACTTAAAATGTAAAGCTGGTTAGAATATGACTAAGACACTAGAAAGAATTACTTCTTTTACATTCTACAGTAGAGAAATCTAGCGGGGTTATTTTTCTTGTATTTGAGCATGCTAATTCAAAATTTGAATCACCTTTATTAGTAAGGAGGGTAGTGTAAGCTTCCATGAGCTGCTAAGAAGGGGAATACAGCTGTCAAAAACTTCCCATTCCCATTCACCAAGGTTTTATGCTGAGAACAACAAAATTACTTTAAGCAGTCAAACTCTTTAATTAGTAATTGTGCCGGCATCTTTCAATACACTGCATGTCTTTACCCACCTAGAATCTCAACGTGAAGAGCTGGGTGTATGTGCGCTCTGTACTACTGCTGTCTTCCAACCATAAGTCGTAAAGGATTTGAGGTTGTAAAATGTGTGTTAATACTAAAGTCTTCTGATGGATTAAGTTATAAGGGAAATGGGAAGTTAAATTATTTAGGAAAATTATTAGAAAATTCGTATAAGCTTTGTCTTAAAAGGAGAACATCTGAAATTGTCTTATGGACAGGGTTTTTTCTTACATGCTAATTGATCAAATTGCGATTTTCCTCTGGCTCCAGAAATGTTCCAAGAACACGCTTCGGTCTGTGCAGCACTGTCTTTAGCCACCTTACAAAACTTACATTCTTACAAAACTTCTTGTGAGCTTTGGACCTTATTTTTGCACCTGTCTCGGTGCCCTTGACTCCCTGCTAAGTCTCCTCTCTCCTCCTTAGGCGGGTAATCAATTCATTCAGCATCAAATTTCTGCAGACGCGTATTCCTGACGACACCAAGTTCAAACTAAATGTTAGTATTCAGCGGCCAGGCGGCCTTATCTGTTAATTTGTGCTTTGTCTCGAGTCTCTGAACTTGACTTTGAACAAGGATACTCAAAATAATAAAGACTGACTTAAAACGTAAAGCTGGTTAGAATATGACTAAGACACTAGAAAGAATTACTTCTTTTACATTCTACAGGAGAGAAATCTAGCGGGGTTATTTTTCTCGTATTCGAGCATGATAATTCAAAATTTGAATCACCTTTATTAGTAAGGAGGGTAGTGTAAGCTTCCATGAGCTGCTAAGAAGGGGAATACAGCTGTCAAAAACTTCCCATTCCCATTCACCAAGGTTTTATGCTGAGAACAACAAAATTACTTTAAGCAGTCAAACTCTTTAATTAGTAATTGTGCCGGCATCTTTCAATACACTGCATGTCTTTACCCACCTAGAATCTCAACGTGAAGAGCTGGGTGTATGTGCGCTCTGTACTACTGCTGTCTTCCAACCATAAGTCGTAAAGGATTTGAGGTTGTAAAATGTGTGTTAATACTAAAGTCTTCTGATGGATTAAGTTATAAGGGAAATGGGAAGTTAAATTATTTAGGAAAATTATTAGAAAATTCGTATAAGCTTTGTCTTAAAAGGAGAACATCTGAAATTGTCTTATGGACAGGGTTTTTTCTTACATGCTAATTGATCAAATTGCGATTTTCCTCTGGCTCCAGAAATGTTCCAAGAACACGCTTCGGTCTGTGCAGCACTGTCTTTAGCCACCTTACAAAACTTACATTCTTACAAAACTTCTTGTGAGCTTTGGACCTTATTTTTGCACCTGTCTCAGTGCCCTTGACTCCCTGTTAAGTCTCCTCTCTCCTCCTTAGGGGACTGTTGTGTCAGGAAAGATTCATGGCAGCAGTGTAGTTCGCTGAGAAACAGTTCCCTTATCCAGGTTTTACAGACCTGTCGAGAATTCCACTTTCCCTCTGTGCATGTGGTTTGGTTCTGTCTGGTTTATGGAGAACTCTGTCTTCACAGAGAGGCTGTTTGGAATTTTTACAGGACAGAAAACAATTTTCCTAGTTTTCTACAGCTTGGTAATCACCGTTGTTTCACAACTCTGTGAAAATAGATGTGTCTCACCAAGTAAGAGAAATTTGGTTCTTTCGTACATCTGGAAGTTCTTGCTTCTGCATGGAGACAAAGAATGGTGGAAACCATGAGCATTTTACGCGTGCAAGAACATTTATGGAACTATTTGAGGAATAGCTTCCTAAGCTTGGGATCTTTCCCCAACTCCGAGCACCCCAAATGGATGGTAGCTCTTGGCATGTGTCATTCTCCCCTCAGCTGTTCAAAACACCCAAACCCCATCTGTTTTCTGAGCATTTGGTATGAGATTCCTTTTACACATCAGGAAAACTTTTCTGATATATTTCTGTTTTTTTAATTCTGGTATTCTCAGAAATCAAAACCTTTAGGAGCTAAAAGTCCTCTAAGGAATTTTACTTCATTAAAGAGATCATGGTACACCGGTGTTGCATCTGGTCCCATCCAAGTCCAAGACTCTGTTTGGGAGCCAAAATGTCAGTAGGTGATGGGGTACAATCATTTTTATGATCATTTCTTATGCCCCTGACACACCCTGCTCTGGCAGAGACTGAAGCTGCCCTCGCTTTTAGGGCCCTTACAGTCCTTCTTTTGTGGTCTTCTGTGGAAGACGGAGAGCTCAGTTTGAGTCTGCTCAAGCCAGAAGCAGCTGGCCACTGATGCCTTCCTCTCCTTGCAGGGGTGTGTGTGTTACGTGTGCCTCCATTCTGGGGGAGATAAGAGTCTGTTTAGAACTGTTTAGAAGTAACTACAAAATGTCTGGTGCTGGCATGTGCTGTTGTATGCAAATGTATCTGGTTAAACTTGGGTGAAATTCAGCTGCACAGAACTTTAAAGTTCTTCACGGACATAGTGATAGTGAAAACCTTGGGCTTGCAAAAACATCCAGCTTTTATCTTCAGGAAGATCTAATGCAGAGTCTACTGTGCAGGCTTTTCCACCTTGAATTTGTAAGAAAGAACATTCCCAGGGTAAATGAGAGACATTTAACCACGGGCGCCCAGCTGCAGTACAGAAGTTGAGGAGCACTCCTGCTGTGGTAACC